CTTCTGATTTCTTATGGCTGATCACATTTTACTTTGTATCATAGTCCTTTGTTTTCAGGGTTTATTTCCCCTAAAAGAGTGGAAGCTCTAAGAAGGAAAGAATCTTGTTTAAGTCATCTTGGCAAGCTCCTCAGTGCCTACAAAAATACTTTTCAACAAGGGTGCTGCTCCAACATGACTACACATGTATAACCTGTATTAAGTTGCTTGCCTTCTCAATGAGGGTGGGTGGGCAGAGAGGAAGGGAGAGAATTTGGAACCCAAAGTTTTAAAAACAAATGTTAACAATTGTTTTTACATGCAATTGGGATATAAGATACACAGGCAATGGGGGGTGACAGAAGGGAGGGCAGATCAGGGGAAGAGGTATTCAGAATGCACGCCTTCTTGGGGTGGGGTGAGAGGAGAGATGGGGAGAAAATTTGGACCTCAAAATCTTGTGAAAGTGAATGTTGAAAACTTAAAATAAATAAATCAAGAAGAGAAAAAAACATAAAAAAAAGAAGGCTGCTACTCAATAAATATTTGTCATATGAGACAATGACAAGACCTTAAGGCCAGCCTTAGGCTCTCTTAGGGAGAGTCCACCCACTGATATTTCAGAAGCATTTTTCCAAAACAAAAAACACTCTCCCCCCCAAAAAAAGCTGCTGAAACTTGAAATTATATAATCACACTTCATTGTTCTGGCTTAAATCCAACTGAGCTTTACAGGATTTTAAGATGTAAATACTCTGAGGAAAGGATGTACAGTCACATCCTTTCTTGACCAGAGGGGCTGAATAAATTTGATTTCAGATTTCAAAATACCCTAACCCAATCTATGTGTTTTAGCCATGTGCTTAAATCAAAGTTTGGTCCTCCAGCACTGGGTATGAACATTAATTCAATACAACATGGATCTCTTTTATTCCTGAATCAAAGGTGAGCACCATGAAACACAAAATGCAACAAGGACAGATGGGAGGCAAGGAAACCAGTTAGAAAAACAATAAAATACTCTAGGTGAGAAGAAATAAAGATCTGACTTAGGGTGACTCCAGTGGTAACAGAAACGAAGGAAGTGATTATATAGATATGGCAGAGGTAGAAATGACAGGATTTGGCAAGTCACTGGCTATGTGAGAAAGAAGTCAGAGATGACTGAGGTCTCAAATTTGGATGACCAAGAGAATGGTGAAACTATGAATAGAAATAGAGAAGTTAGGAGGGAGGAGAAGCTTTTTTCGGGGAAGGAGGGGGAATGAGGAATGAAGATCAGCTTGGGACCAATTGAGTTTAAAGTACAAGTGTGGCATACAGATGGGAGTATTTGAAAAAAAAAAAGTAAATTTTTCCAAGTGGCTGGAAAAAGAGCTATAGATCTAAGGAGAGGCTGAGAGAAAGAAACGGATTTGAGAGCCCTTCAACCTCGGTCATCCTAAACTACTCACTGTCCTCCAACTTAAACATCCAATCAGTTGCTAAGTCTCATGACTTAACATTTTATTTCTCCCTAAAGTTATAGAAATGTAAAAAGGAATATATGTATTTCAAGGGAGGACTGGGAAAAAGAACAAGCAAAATCCCTAACACAAAGGAATCCGAGAATGTCAAAGCTGGAAGAAATTGAGAAAATCACCTAGACCATCCCCATTTTTTCCCTCCTCTATTTTGCAGATTAGGAAATAGAGCTATACAAAAGTCAAATCCCTTCACCAAAGCCATGTGAAAATATTTATCCCCTCATGCCTCTATTCTATCTCCCCTTAATCTAGCATTTATAGACTGCCTGACCAATTTTCTCTAGGCACTGATATCACTTCTCACCCAGTAGTCTCTCCCCGGTCTAATCTATCCTTAACACAATGCTAGTCAAGTCCTCGCTAAAAACTTTTCTAGGTACTCCTCCCAATTCCCTATTGGGTAACCAAATTCAAATTCCTTAGCCTGCCATTCAAGGCCTTCCATAACCTGGATCTATCCAACCTTCCAGCTTTACATAGTCTCCTGTCAACCTAAGATCCTCTCTGGTCCTTACTCTCACCCCCTCTGTAGAACAGTCCTCCTTTCCTCTTTGTTGAATTCTTACCTATCTTTAAAGCCCAATTCAAAAGTTACCTCCACCAGGAAACTTTCTGATCTCACTCATCCTCATTTCTTTGCCTTAAGAACTCACTAAGCACCTCGTTTTGCAACTTTGGATCCACTTATTATTCAATATTTCATAGAATAATTCTGTGTGCTTGTGTTGAAACTGTAAAGTTCATGAGGGTAAGGTTATCTTCTCTAAACTTTCTATCTGATCCAGTGTCAAACACAGTGCTCTAACAGAAGACGTTAAAAAAGTCTGATAAGTGAATTAGCAAATTCAATGGTTTTTATCTTTGCCTTTCTTGGTATCCTCAGCACTTAGCAAGGTGCCTAGCACAAAAAAGAGTTTAATAAATGCTTGTGGGTTTGAATTAAACTTGATTTCCTTTCTTAGTTTATTTCTGAGTAGGATTTTAGCAGCCAAACAAGTAGCTAAACAATGGGATTTACTAGCTCTTTGAATTCAGCTCTTTCTGGGCTTAGACATCTCCATTCGTCTATCTGCATCCCTCACCTTCAAAGCTACAAAACAGGATTAGCAAGAAAAATAACATAAGACAAAACAAAAATGATGCAATGAGTCAAGGTTAAAAGAGGCTGGTCTCTCTTAAGCTCAAATTAATGTGAAACAGAGAGCCCACAAGCTACAGCACTTCATTAGACTACATTTTGTCTATGGGTAAGGATAAAGGAAAACATTCCTAAACTGTCTCATAAAAGCTTCCAAACACTAGAAGGAAAGCAGACTTTCCTGATCTAATAAAAGGTGTTCACCCTTCACTTAACATAATTCTGAGTTCTGTACTCATTATTCTATATCTGGGATTATTATAGTCTTTTCCCCTACACCTGGAAACCATCAACAATCACAATATTTTTAGAACAGTGGTGTGTTAAACTCAAATAGAAACAGATCCCTGTGAGCCACATGTTGACTAAGAAAAAAACAAAATTAACATTACCTATATGGTATTGTATTTTTATTTGTTTTATTAAACACTTCCCAATTATACTTTCATCTGGTTCAGCCTCACCAGGCCTGAGTTTGGTACCTCTGTTCTAGAACACCAAGATTCTCTAGTGCTATTGATATCTTTGTAAAACCTGTGAATCTAAGGATCACAACCTCCTACTGCTATTTCTTCCATTCATTCATTCCACAAATATTTATTATGTGCCTAAAACTATGTGCATAGTACTATGCTAGATGCTGAGGATGACACCAAGTTTAGATATGATTCACTCTCTGCTTTCCTGAATCTTATAGTATACTGAGAAGGTATAAGCATAGAAAACTACAATATACAATATTGTATAATGACATTGTATAACAAGTATAGATAACCACAATATACAATACACATTCACAAAGAGTGTGATGAAAGACCTGAAGGGGAAGATTTCTATTCACAAGGAATTTGAGGAAGGTTTCCTAGATGAGGTAGTACTTGAATTAGGCTTGAAAGGACAGATTCAACAGACTGGGGGAAAGAGTATTCAAGGGCATAGGGAACAGGGTGGACAGAAATAGAAAGCTTTGCATTTGGAAATGCATTATAAGATAAGCTGAAAATGGTAGCTCCTTTAGCACACTAAGTTCATGGCTGATAAAGAATATCCTCCCTAGTGGAAAGTGGAAATCTCCCTAGTGGAAAGGCGGGTTACTTATCTTTAACATCCTTCAAAGGCACACTTCCTTCCACCAAGTTACTTTGTCTTTCTATCTCCTTAATTCTCCTCCCTTTCTTAACCAGTCCTAATATAGCACTTAATTCTGCAAATCTCAAATGTTTGCTGGAGTTCAATAGTGTCCAACTCTTCAGGACCTCATTTGGGGTTTTCTTGGCAAAGATACTGGAGTGGTTTGTCATTTCCTTCTCCAGATCATTTTACAGATGAGGAAACTAAGGCAAACAAGGTTAAGTGACTTGCCCAGGGTCACACAGCTAGTGTCTTGGACTAGATTTGAACTCTGGAAAATAAATCTCCCAACACATTACATGATTCCTTCTTTTGTACCCCCTTAAATAACAGTAAACTCCATGGAGGCAGGGTCTTACTTTGTAGATAACCCCCTGAACACTGCTGGCACCTAATTAAACATTTGCTGAACGAATAAATTTCTTTCATCTGTCCATTTACACAGTTGCAGAACACTAAGACCCAATTTCCACTGGGTTCTTATCTGGTCTCCCAAAAATTCACAGAATCTCAGAGCTGGAAGAGGCCTTGGAGCTCATCTAGTCCAATTCCTTCATTTTTACTAAGAAGGAAATTGACAATTCTATTCTTTAGAATCAAGAGTGTGAAGGAAGAGATATGAAAAGCCCAGAGAGAAAGACAGGGGAAGAGAATCCTAGCAGTCAGTAGATGAAAGGTCTTGTCAAAGGCACACTGCTCCGGTCCTATTCCTTATCAGAACTTCCCAATGACATGGGTGGGTACAGAGGTCAAGATTAGTATCTCGATTTTACAGAGGGGGAAAATGAGGCCCTTGAAGTCTGAAGAGAAGACTTAACTCCCAAGACAACGAACAAGTTATTTCTCCTGGACCTCGGTTTCCTCTTCTGCAGGAAGAGAGGATGATCCCCTTCCTGGACTATGCAAGGCCAGCCCACTCAGGGGGCAGAGGCCCAGCTGGTCCTGACCTTCGGCCTCCCCTGTCCCTTAGTCCTTCTGTCCCTCCCTCTCACTCTAATTCCTCAGGGGAGCAGTGGCTCCCGTCATGCACCGCTTCCTCTCTCCCACTCTATCCCCCGTCCCTAGCCCAGCCCCTTACCGGAAACAGCAAGAAGCCCCCCGACCACCTCCCAAACAACTGGCAGGGGACCACCTCCCCAACAACTGGCAGGGCACCCTTCCCTCCCTCCATCAACTCCCGGGCAGTCCCCGGGCCGGCCGGCGGGCGGAGCAGGCCTGTCCCGCACCTTCACCGTGTCCAGTGGGTGGCCCACTAACACCACGCACACGCCGCCGAAGCCTCCGGCCAGGAAGTTCTTCCAGGGGCTGATGTGAGCGGTCGCCGTCTCAACCTCATCCTCAGCCACGGTGCCAGCCTTCATCTCGGTGATTCAGCCCTAATCTCACCCCAGCTGTAGCTGTCGACCTTTCCCCCACATTGCGGGAAGGAGGCGGGGCCTTTAGTGAGAGGCATGCTGGGAAACGGGAGGAGATGCCGGCCTTGACACCCTCGGGTCCTAGCGTGGCCACGGAGGCGTGGCTACGCCCCGCCGGCATCCCTGGGCGTGCAGACCTCGCTGTAGCGCTTCCCAGGCTTTCCTAGCGGCAGGTTTGCTGTAGTCCTGCGGGGAGAGAGGTGCGAGGTTTTGTCATCCCCTTTTTTCAGAGGAGGAAACTGAGGCCCGGAGAGTGGCTCAGAGTAATTGAGCCCTAAATTTGGGGTCCGAAGACATGGATGCTCGAGGTCAGGATCATTGGACATACATGCAAGAGACGCCCTCTTTTTACAAGTGAGAAAATAGGGTGAGAGGGGTTAATTTCCTTGCCCTCGGTCACACAACCTATACACTCTAAGCTCCTTGAAGGCAAGGACTGAGTTTTTGATTGCTTGGTTTTTTTGCCTTTTCTCCAACACCTAGTACAGTAACAGCACATGGGAGACACTTAGATGCTTGTTAGATCGAATTAAATCGGATTTCGAGCCTAAGTTCCATTACTATAGATTATCCCTTACTACTTGTAGGAGGTGTGTGTTGTAAAACTCAGGCTCTGGATTTACATGGACCAGGTTCAATTCTGGGAGGAATCTCACAAATCACTGGCTGGAGCTGCTAAGATTTCCCCCGGATCCATCAAAATTTAACTGTTGTCTAGATCTATAGAAAAGGTAAAAAGGACACTTAGCTCCAATGCAGGTACTCAGACAATTCATCTAATTGTTCAACAATTCATCTAATACAGGGTAAAACACTAAGAATCCCAACCTAAGCTGAGTAATGTCCAGAGGGATCTCCAATCCTAACTAGTGAGCCCCACTTCCACCAGGAACATACACAGTCCTGAGACTTAATAACTGATTTTTATATATGACTTTAAAATTCACAAGGTAATTTGCATACATTAAATCATTTGAGCTCCATCATAATCCCTTTGAAGTAGGGTGATAACAAGTGTTATTATCCTTTTTTGCAGATGAGGAAACAGACTTAAGAAGTTAGGAAATTTTCTCATGGACAATATATTAAGTGTCAGAAGCCAAGACTTTCTAACATGCTTCCCTAAGATTGAAATGAGCCTGAAGAAAAAAGACCAAGATTTCAATAAATAGTCCATCCCACAGTAATTCACAGTATTAAGGTTTGGATTTGCTCTTTCATATCACCTTGTTGTAACTTTTGTGTTCTTCCATGGAAGCTCCTCCTTGATCCTGGAATTCCTTTTCTAGGTTCAAGAAATTGAATTGTTCAGAATAACAGTTCTCAAACATCCCATTTCTAGGCTCACACCCAAAGCCTTTTCGTCATTTTTGTTGTCGTTCAGTAGTTTCAGTCGCGTATAACTTTTCATGACCTCCTTCAGCTTATAATAAGGCCTAGCAGAACTGGCAGAGCCTTTGAAAACCCAGGCTCACCTCCATACCACACTGAAGTGAATGCTTCCACTCAATACAAGGTAATTCAGAGTTCATAAGATTTAGAGGTAGAAACAACAATTGAGGACATTTCACTTAATCTCATTTTATAGATGAGGAAACTGAATTCAAAAGATTTTCAATTCAATTTAGTAAACATTTATCAAGAACCTACTATGGGGTGTTCCCGAGCCCCCAGGAGCTGGGCGTGTCACTGGCGCAACTGGTGGTGCAGCTGCCAGGCCGGGCGGGGGCACCGGGGATGGGATTCGCTTCTCCCTTGGACTCTTAGGCAGGAACCTGGTCCAGCTGCTGGCCCAAGAGCTGCCCGTGGCCGCTGCCCCCGCACACTGAACGCTGGGATTCTGCGACGAGCGCCTGGTGCCCTTCGACCACGCCGACAGCACGTTCGGCCTGTACCGGACTCATCTTCTTTCAAACTTGCCCATCCCAGAGAGCCAGGTAATCACCATTAACCCTGCACTCCCAATGGAAGAGGCTGCCTCAGACTATGCAGAGAAGCTTCGAGAAGCCTTTCAAGGTGATACGTACGATCCCAGTTTTTGACCTTCTGATTTTGGGTATTGGACCTGATGGGCATACATGTTCCCTTTTCCCTGATCACCCAACTCCTGCAGGAGAAGGAAAAAATTGTGGCCCCCATCAGTGATTCCCCAAAGCCACCCCTGAGAGGGTGATCCTCACTCTGCCTGTACTGAATGCAGCACGAATGGTCGTGTTGGTGGCTACAGGAGAAAGCTAAGCGGCTGTTTTGAAGCGGATCCTGGAAGGTGATGAGGAGAATCCACTTCCCGCGGCACTCGTGCAGCTGTGTTGGTTCCTCGATGACGCTGCGGCGGAAAAACTGACCATTCCATTTGAAAAGCATTCCATTTTGTAGCCCGATGGGCCCAGATGTGCCAGACCCAGAGTTGACCTCTGCACACTGCTTCCTTATCTTTCTCTTGATATTTTTACAAAGACCAGCAGGTGTGGGGCAGCAGTACTCTCTCCTGAGGAGGGAGTGAATGAGCCTGAGAACAGGCTCGTGAACTGTGTACGGTCTCTCTTGTGTGACCACCCAATATTAAAATGTGAATTTAAGCTCTGAAAAAAAAAACAACAAAAAAAACCTACTATGGAAATCATATCAGGGATCCCAGACATCTACTGGCAAAAGCCTATCACATTAATGCCAAAATTTACCTGGATAAGCAATATGACAGCAAACCATAGAACAATTAAGATCTCAAAAGAAACAAAGAGACCAATTACCCAAAAGCCAATGGAAGTTTTATATATAAGATACTCCAAGACACTCTCCTTTCTGCGTCACTGAATTCCAGGCCTGGCTCACAATCCTTCTCTCTTCCCCAAATCCTAATGCTAAAGGACTTCCACATATATCTCCTTCATATTTCACTGAAAAATGCCATTTGCCAAGAGTTCCCAATTCTTTCCTCCTCATTTCACATCACTCAGATGCCTCATCATATAAATATGTGGCCCTTCTCATTGTCAAGGCAAACCCTTCTATATGCATAAGTAATCCCATTCCAATCCATCTTCTTTTTTAATTTTAATTTTAATTTTTTTTGGTAAATAGTATGTTTCCAATTACATATAAGGCTAGTTTTCAACATTCATTAAAAAAATTTTAGTTCCAGATTCTCTCCTTCCCTCCCCTCCATCCTCCCTGAGACAGCATGCAATCTGATATACATTATACATGTGCAATCATATAAAACATTTCCATATTAGGTATGTTGTGAAAGAAAATATGCCATATTAGGCATGTTGGGGAAAAAAACAAGAAAAATAAAGTATGCTTTCATCTGCATTCAGATTCCATCAGTTCTTTCTCTGGAGGTAGATAGCATTTTTCATCATGTGCCCTTTGGAATTGTCTTGGATCATTGTATTCCTGAGAATAGTTATCATTCACAGTTGTTCATCATATAATGTTGCTCTTGATATGTACGATGTTCTAGTTCTGCTCACTTCACTTTGCATCAGTTCATGTAAGTCTTTCTAAGTTTTTCTAAAATCTGCATGCTTATCATTTCTTTTAGCATAATAGTATTCCATTACATTCATATATTACAACTTGTTCAGCCATTCCCCAGTTGATGGGCATCCCCTTAATTTCCAAGTCTTTGCCACTACAGAGTTGCTAAAAATATTTTTGTACGTGTAGGTCCCTTTTCCCTTTTTTATGATGTCTTTGGGATACAAAACTAGTAGTGATATTTCCAAATCAAAGGGGTATACATAGTTTTATAGCCCTTTGTGCATAGTTCCAAACTGTTCTCCAGAACAGTTGGATTCGTTCACAACTCCACCAACAATGCATTAGTGGCCCAATTTTCCCACATTTTCTCCAACATTTATCATTTTCCTTTTCTGTTATATTAGCCAATCTGATAGGTATGAGGTGGTACCTCAGAGTTGTTTTAATTAGCATTTCTCTAATCAATAGTGAATTATAGCATTTTTTCATATGACTATAAATGGCTTTAATTTCTCCATCTGAAAACTGCGTGTTCATATCCTTTGACCATTTATCAATTGGGGGATGACTTGTATTCTTATAAATTTGACTCAGTTCTCTATATATTTGAGAAATGAGGCCTTTATCAGAAAAACTTAAAAATTTTCTCAGCTTTTTGCTTTCCTTCTAATCTATTTTGTATTTCATAATGTTCTCTATCTCTTGTTTGGTCATAAATTCTTCCCTTCTCCATAGATCTGACAGGTAAACTATTCCTTGCTCTCCTAGTTTGCTTATGGTATCACCCTTTATGTCTAAATCATGTACCCATTTTGACCTTGGTATATGATGTGAGATGTTGGTCTATGCCTAGTTTCTGCCATACTATTCTCCAGTTTTCCCAATAGCTTTTGTCAAATAGTGAATTCTTATCCCAGAAGGTGGAGTCTTTGGATTTATCAAACAGTAGATTGTTATAATTATTTACTACTGTGTCTTGTATACCTAATCTGTTCTACTGATCCGTCACTCTATTTCTTAGCCCCATTTTCATTTTTGATACTGGTAATTTAGTTGGGTTTTTTTTAAGTCAAATTAACCAAAGGTTCATCTATTTTTTTGTTCTTGGGTTTTTTTTTCATAAAACCATCTCTTACATTTATTTATTCAATAGTTTTCTTACTTTAAATTTTATTAATCTCTCCTTTGATTTCAGAATTTCTAATTTGGTATTTAATTAGGGATTTTTAATTTGTTTTCTTCTAGCTTTTTTAGTTGCATGCCCAATTCATTGATCTGTTCTTTTTGTATTTTATTCATGTAAGCATTTAGAGATATAAAATTTTCCTTAAGTACTGCTTTTGCTGCTTCCCAGAAATTTTAGTAAGTTATCTCATTATTGTCATTCTTTTTGATGAAATTATTGATTGTTTCTATGATTTGTTGTTTGACCCACTCATTCTTTAGGATTAGATTATTTGGTTTCCAATTAATTTTTAATCTATGTTTCCATGGCCTTTTATTAAATGTAATTTTTATTCATCATGATCTGAAAAGGATGCATTTAATA